CCTTTTTTTAAACTGAAACAACTTTTAAATGGGTCAAAAGTGAGATAAGCTATTACATTATAACCCAATTGTATCTACTGTAATCAACTTTACATTACTCTCTGTAGGTGACTATCGTCAGAGGGGATTCACCAGAGACATAATCTATGTGTGGATCCTGTAAATGGATTTTGAGCTTCCACTGCCATTTATAGCCTTCTGCAAACCAGATATTCACAATTTTTAGCTCTGATATTATTCCCTCCACTGGAGTTTATTAGTTACAATCCTTGGATCACTCAGGCTGGTGAGCTTCTTCCATGTGGACTTAGTTGATGCCTCACTTAGATGACTGCTAGTTTGAAGACACGCTGTTAAGACCCCAGACACTATTCTTTTAGATAGCCGGGCACCATCTGGTTTCTTCATCAAACTTTGCTATCACACCCATATCTCCAGTGATCTCTTTATGAGGGCTAGCATCGATTAGGGCCATTTTCATAAGAATTCATTGTTACTAGTCTGGGGTTAGAATTAAGTGCAAGCCCAGAATATGTTTGTATATCTGTGATTTATGTGTGTGTCTGGTTCACTTTAGAGAGATCATTGTGATTTTATGTGAGAGAACGTTATCAGTTATCTTCCTGGGGCATAAGGTATTATTGCTATGTCATTAATTTTGCCAATTGCATAGAATTTAAAACACAGTTGAGGAAAAATTATACAAGTAGAGGCTGGTTATGAACTGCAATAAATGAATTGTTGACTTGTACAGATTAAACTGTTAAGTGACTGGACACTATTTACATTAACAGTTGGGGGCTGGTGATAAGGCAGAGAGTTTAGTAACATTGACTCACAAAGGTAGAACCATGCCTACTAGACTAATTCATGTCATAAGAAAGCAAGGATAACGTTAAAATAGTAATTATATGGTAGTCCCAGGTCACCATTCATTGGGCACCCTCAAGGCAAGGAAGGCCTCACTCTTGTATGCCAAGAAATTTGGAAGACAGCTACCTGGTTTACTAACTGGAAGAGAGCCATATTTGTGCCCATTCCAACAGAATGCAGAAATAGAAGAACAATATAATCAATGTCACATGTAAGTAAAATCAACAGCAATTGCAGCTGCCCAGCCCTGCACCTTCCTCATAGTGGTTTTGCTGGAGCCCATTGTTGGCAGCCACTGTGTCAATAACATATTGACAGGTGGCTACCAGAAATGCAAACTGGATTAAGAAAGGAGTACGTGGCAGAAGGCATGTAATTGTTGACATCTGATGGACAAGTGCAAAAAGCAGAGAAATACCAGAAAGATATTTATTTACTTTATGTTTATTGACTCTACAAAGGCATTTGACTGTGTGGATCATAAACTATGGATAACACTGTGAAGAATGAGAGTTCCAGAACACTTCATTGTGCTTAATACAGAACCTGGACCAACAGGTAGTCATTGGAAGAAAACAAGGGAATACTACATGGTTTAAAATCAGGAATCGTGTGCATCTGAGTCGTATCTTTTTATCATATATATTCATTCTATGCCGATCAAAAAAATCTGAGAACCTAGATTAAGAAGGTGGTGGTATCAGGATTAGAGGAAGGCCTTTTAGCAGTCTGGTATGTGGATTGATGCATGCTTGCTAGCTGAAAGCAAACAGGACTTGAAGCACTTACTGATAGCAAGACTACAGCTTTCAGTATGGATTACCACTCAGTGTAAGGAAAACCAAAATCTTGCACCTGGGCAAGACTTCCTAGACTTCCTCATGACAAATGGCGAAAAGATTGAAATTGTCAAGCATTTCATTTGGAATGGATCCCAGGTCAGTGCTCATGGAAGCAGCAATCAAGAAATCAAATGGTACATTGCATTGGATATGTCTGCAGCACAAGACATCTTTAAAGAGTAAAGGACAAAGCTGCTACTTTGAGGACTAAAGTGCACCTGATCCAAGCCATGGTATTTTCTGTTGCCTCATTTGCATATGAAAGTTGGACAGTGAAAGTTGCCGCTGAAGAATATTGAATATTGAAGGTTACCAAGCACTGCCAGAAGAACAAACACATCTTTCTTGGAAGAAGTATAGCCAGAGTGCTCTTAAGAAGCAAGAATGGCAAGATTACTTCTCATGTACTATGGACGTGATTCCAGGAGAGACCAGGCCCTGGACAAGACAAAGTAGAAGATCAGTGAGAGATAAGAAGACCCTCAGAAGATTAATTGACACAGTGGCTGCAACAATGGGCTCCAGCAAAACCAAGGTGGAGGGCCGGGCAGTGCTTTGTTCTGTTAACACTGCACGGCACCTAACAACTCAAGTGGGAAGAGGCCCTTCACCTTTAGCTGATTGGAACTCTAACTGTTCACAGTTCTATATAAAATCGGGGCATTGTTTGGTCTGTTATTTGTTTTCTCAGCCTCAGAATTCCTCCCATAGATGCAATGGTCAATACCTATCTTGATAGATAAGATCCCTGTGTAGCACTCCAGAGTGCTTTCTTAGGTTATTTGCTAAACATACATATTGAACAAGGATGGTGAAAGTACATAACCCTGATGTACACCTGCCCTGATTTTAAACAACACCCTGTCCCTTGTTCTGCTTGAACCTCTTGTAAGAACAAAGAGGTGATCCACACTTAAGGGATCCACACTGAAAACTGTAGCTATACAATAGGTGCAAAAAATGACGTGGAGGCATTGTCTGACCTTATCTGGCTTCACCAGAGGGAAGAAGAATCTAAGTCTACATTTGTCCAATGATGAGTCCTATAAGGCAAAGTGAGACATGCCTACATTTCCCAACCTTCTCCACCCTCTTATAACACAGTCATCTCTCCCACAGCACTCAGCTTCTCTCCTAAATTCAGTAATCTGTTGGCAATGGCCAAGCAGAAATCTCAGAGAGTAATCATGATATAGTGTTTATTTGGGAAGTTAACAGGTTACAATTGAGGATCAGAAATGTTAAGGGTACGGTTCCTTTGTCTATAATTCCTCTTTTCACCATGAACACAAGAACTCTTCTCTCCGGGCCTTGCCTCTTAGCCACCTAACCTCAGCCTCTGTCGTGCCTGACAAATGTTCCAAAGGGTTTTTATTGCTGCCCAAAGGAAGGCACTTTGAGTTACTTGCTTTTGTAGGCTAAGACGGCCACCACTCCTTCATGCTCTGACTTGTGGTTCTGCCACTGTTCCTCCACTATTTCTGTCCACTCCTCTGGTATCACAGTCGTGTCACCTACATGGAATAAGGTTAGTTCAGGAATCTCAGGATTCAGAGGACACATTTCACTTATGGCTCTTCTTTCTTGATGGTCATGAGATTCCCTATTCCAGCTTCTGACATGGTTCACTTTATACTTCCGTATTAGAATTCCATATACCTTGTTTGCATGCTCCCACTTGGGCATCCAGTGGGAGTTACATACACTATGGGTAGATGGGCCATTTCTTACTTTTCAGTAGTGTGTTACTTATCCAGGGCTTCATTCCTTTCCATATAAAGTTGGTGATTGTTTCCCCCATCTCTTTAAAGAATATTAATTGTATCTAGATCAGGATTGAGTGGAGTATTAGCATTTTCATAATGTTAAGTCTTCCTATTCATTAGCATGATAGATTTCATGTATAGGTCTCTTGGTTTCTTGAAGTAGTGTTTTGTAGTTTTCTTTGTATAGGTCTTTTGTATCTCTGGCTTGGTTTATTTCTCAGTATTTTATATTTTGGTAGCTATTGTAAATGGTATTGTTTTCCTTATTTCTTTTTCAAAGGTTTTATATGCTGGTGTAGAGGAATCTGATTTTTGTTTGTTGATCTTGTACCTTGCCACTCTGCTGAATCTTTGTTTTGGTTCCATAATATTGCACAGGAGTGGTAACAGGGCATCCTTGTTTGGTTCCCAATCACAAGGGAAATGCTTTTAGTTTCCTTCTATTGATAATAATGTTGATCATTGCTTTTGTACATTTTCCCTTTATTAAAGGAGCTCGGGTAGTGGATTACACTTTGGGCTGCTAACCACAGAGTTGCTAATTCAAATGCTCTGTGGAAGAAAGAGGAAGCTTTCTGTTCTCTTAAGGTATTTCCAGCCCTGGAAATTAACAGGAGCAGTTCTACTTTGTCCTACTTGAGGACAAACTGAGTTTCTGACTCATAGAAACTATATGCTCTGTGTCAGAAATGACTCGATGGCAATGAGCGCCATTAATTATATTGAGCAGTTTCCCTTCTCATGCTACTATTTTACTTCGTACATTTCATGTTTCCATTATTAATGACTGTGGTAGCTGCGTCCTCTCATTTTGAGTCATGTTCCGTCAACATAGAAAATTCCCAAAGCTTTGTCCCACCCACCACATTAAGGCTGAGGAGGCAGTTGATCCCCAGTCATATTTCGAGTGTGTCCCAGCCTGAGTGGCTCATTTTATGACACCATAACAATGTTTTGCTGCTATTTATAAGGTTTTCAATGACTAATCCTTCAGAAATTGAATGTCTATTTCAGGGGTCCTCAAACTAAAGCCTGCCAAGGACATTTATCCGGCCCGCGGGGTGTTTTTGCCACCACTGCCTGCCCTGCTTAGCAGCCAGCTCGTCCAGTGTGCATAGGAATTTGCTCATAGCTTTTTTAAAAACTATAGTCTGGCCCTCCAACGGTCTTAGGGACAGTGAACTGGGCCCCTGCTTAAAAAGTTTGAGGACCCCCTGATCCATTCATTCTTCCTAGTCTGTCTTAGTCTGGAAGTTTTTCACCTTGGGTGATTCTGTGATATTTGCAATATCAGAGACATAGCTTCCATCACCCAGCAACAAGCAAGCCGCTGTAGAACAAACTGACAGAGGAGTTGTGATTAGCTTATATTTTTGTTGTTAGTGTGTACCATCAAGTTGTTTACTAGTTAATCTACAACTTTTGTGTGTTTTCAGAAAAATCTGGATTTTATGGGAATTTGAAAATCTGTTCTGCATTTTGCCTCCTTCTGTATAATCTTTGCTCAAAATGCCCACTACTGGGCACGATCCAGTTTTTCTGTTCTCATGGGAAAGAAACAATTAGTCATACTTCATTTCCTTGAGAGGTCTATCTGTTTTCCTCAGAGCTCTTCTGTACCTTTCTGCTGTCCTGCCATTTACCTCTCAGTGTGCCCACACTAATGGAACTGATTATAAAATATCAAGAGCTGACTTCTGTGCTCCATAGTACTTTAGTTTCCTGATTAAAACGTTAAATCTCTTGGGCTAGCTCCTTGGTGAGTAAAGTAGGATAGAGTTCCTTCCTTTTTCTTGCCTTCCCTCCTTAAATTCTATGGATTCTGCCTTTGTAATGTCCTTTGTTTGCATTTTTACTCTGCACCACCCCCAGCAAAAGCCTCTTGCCCAGGGGTCTCCTAACTGATTATCTGGCTACCCACCCATTCTAATTTGCTGTTGCTAGATTGCAATTCCGATAAGGCCTCTCCACTGCCAAAAATCAGTACCTGTTTTTGTCAACAACCAACAAACACCCCTGAGCTGGGCATTTAAATTGTACTGTCATATGAGCCTGGAACCCTGGGTGGTGCAAGTAGTTAGGAGCATGTCTTCTAACTGAAAGGCTGGGCATGTGAGTCCACCTAGAAGCACCGTGGAAGAAAGACCTGGCCGTCTGCTTCTCAAAACTTGGCATTGACATCCTATGGAGCACAAATGTCCTCTGATGTGGGATTCCCATGGACGGAGTCAACCTGTAGGCAGCAGGCTTATCTTAAAAATTAATATATTTAAATTATAGGAAGAACCCTCTTCAGCCTCAAGTAAATCAGCAAGCTTTTAAGAAGATGCCTGTTGTATATTTATAGGTTAATGTAGTTTATCCTCTAGTGTACTTTTGCATCTCTTTAATGGCATATAGAGTCAATCTTAGGTTATAGCAATTTATGCATTTATCTTAATTCCGTACTTAATTGCAAGTGCCTGAGAAAACTGATTAAATGACCTTTTTAAAGTCCCTGAAATAAACACCTAGTAGAATGAGAATTTAATAAGTTGTTTTCAAATGGTGGGATCACAGTGGAATATGAAAATTTAGTTATTAATTAATGCTGATATCGTCCAGTGGGAGAACCTGCTGATATCGTCCAGTGGGAGGGCCCTGAAAGCTAGTAATGTGATCCTTGTTTTACCTTGTTGGGACCTCTCTGCCACTGACTTTTCTCTTCTACAACCCCCAAGCCTCTGCGAGCTTAAATCAGGCGACTCCTGTCATTACTTGCTACCTCTTGAGTTTAGATTATCATCCATTATTTTCTCAGCTTTGTTTTTCTACTTATTTCTACCTTTCCAAATGTCTCTGACTTAACCCCTCTCTCTACTCGTAACTCACAGAGATGCTGCTGCTTAACTCTGAGACTATGGAAACCATCCTGTGTGAACTCTCTTCCCCTCCTGCTTCTATTCTCACAAAGCCTTTCTTGATCCCTACTGGTTCTTTTCTCATTTGCTCTTGTTACAGCAGACGGGTTTTTCCTTCCTTTCTTCCCAGAGCAGTCGTTCCCCCAGTACCCTGGCTCCCACTCCTTCCCACCTTTCAGGCACCTCTCACCATCCCATGCCTTCCTCCATAAAGCCCCTTGCTGTCAAGTTGATTCCAACTCATAGCGACCCTGTAAGGGGCAGAAGAGCTGCTCCACAGGGAAACATGCCATGCCTTTCTCCCCTGGAACAGCTGGTGGATTTAAACTGCTGTCATTCTGTAAGCAGCTGAGCACTTCACCCTCTGTACTACCAGGGCTCCATTCCCTGCATGAGATGCTCATTAAATACGTATTTAATAAAGATCAAATGGAAGTTTATTGGTTCTCATTTCTCTGAAGAATGATATTCTATACTTTTACTTTGATGGACGTTTCTCTTGTTTACTCTTTGTACTACTATCGTGGAAAACGATGACCTGACGTTGGAAGTTGGAACTGACCCCAGGGCACTGAGTCTTTGGGAGGACGGGCACAGGGACTGTGGCTTGAACTTTCCCCCTTTTTTGTAGTTGGAGAATACATTCAAATCAGTTATTGCCCAACTTGGACCTGGAGGAACTATCAATCCAGATATAAAAGAGAAGATAAAGTTTGTAAGTACTTTCTGTTTTGAAACATACAATATTATTGATTATATATTTAGATAGCATTTATGGTTAAGTTTAACTCACCTACTGGTATTAGTATCTTATATTTATACCTGATCTTTTCAAATATACAGCAGACAAATAGCTATTCCTTTAGGATCAGAAAACACACACATGTAATTTTTTTTTAAGTTCGTGGTCTTTCATTGTCATTCTTGTCGGCTTTAGCACAATGTAGACATTACACAAGTGCACGCAGGCAGGCCTTGCTGCAGGGGTGGGTCACTGCCTGCCACCATGGGTTGGAGCACATAACATTTTTAAACACATCAAAATGCTTTTTAACATGTAAATTCCTTCAGAAGTGCTCTTCATTCTCTCCTAACCCAAGTTAGTCTCTGTTAAGGGGCCATTCCAGAAATTTTTGATACTAGTTTCCTATACATGGATGGGTGAGGGTCTCCTTCACAGTTGCTTGTGTTCATGTGTCATATTTGTGCCCCAGTATGTCGCCATCAGTAGCATGTGGGTTGTATGTAGCCTTGATTATGATATTTTTTTTAATGTTTTAGTCTTCTCCTCAGATATTTACCTAGAAGTGCTGGTTGATGTGTATATTTTATTTTGATGATGAAAATTGCTAAATTGTCATAGACAAGGTTTTGATGAAGTTATGCTTCCATTGGCGATGAGTCAGACTGCAGTGTCCGTAGCCCTGCAAATGCTCAGCAGTGTTACTGTGTAGTCATCTTCACATATACCTCTTGATAGTTGCATGTTTCCATATGTTTAGTAACTGTAGTATGCCATATGTGAATCACTTATTCGTGTCCTTGAGCTCCTTTTCCATTTGCCTTATGAATTAGTGAGAGGTCTTGAGTTGTTATGGGTTAGGTCAGGGTATACGTACACTTAAAACCTTGATAGAAGCTGTTAATCCTGATTTGAACACTAAGGGTATCATTACAACTGCCCCAGTTTGCTGGGGGAAATACCCAATGTGTGGCACATGCAGGCCCTCTTTTGTGAATTTCAATCCTTTAAAATGTGAGCTATCCTTTCCAAGGAAGAAATGATACTAGTTCCATTTCTTAAATTACTTTTAGGGGCTTTTTTTGTTGAATATTGCACAGTGAAATTTTTTTAAATCATTTTATTAGGGGCTCATACAACTCTTATCACAATCTGTACATACATCAATTGTGTAAAGCACATTTGTACATTTATTGCCCTCATCATTCTCAAAACATTTCCT